GTGACCAGGCAGTAGGAACGCAGACTGACTTCCCGACGCGAGAAAGTGGTAACGAAATGCACTGAGGGTTGGAACCTTGGCTCCCAGGGTTTCGCTAAAACAGGTTTAATGCCTCTATCCCCATTTTCATGTTCTCTTTCTCTAAGTCACCTCCTTGCATGAATAACAGTTGTTCAGGCTTTTAAAAACTTGGAGCAAATCTTTATGATAACATTTTACATGTCTTAGCATTTCCCCTTCGTTGGACACACGAGCGCCTCTGTCAGAAACTTCCTTTCGGCTCAGCACACTCTGAAGAAGGCAGGCGGAGCAGCTTGGGAAAAGGAGCTCGCTCTGTGCCTTGTTTCAAATAATGAGTCCTTATTAGTTATGACAGGCTGGGGTCACCAACTTACTGTTCTGTCCCCAATTGGAAAGTAAATACATGTATGGTTTTCCGACATACGCGTAGCATTCCATGGGTTTCAAGCTTTCTACACCAAGATTATGGTTTTATTTTGTTCTATGAGGTCACCTTGAGACAGTCAAATCAAGTCACCGTCAAGACAACTGTTTGCATCTGTTAAGTATTTGTTGGTTGTGTTTCCTTTATGAAGTTGATGTGGTTGATTTCTTAACTGCTTTTTTACAATTTTTCAAAGTAATGTTGACAAAGTAATAACTGTATACCAGCGACTTTCAACCTGTGTGCCAAAAGCATTTTTCAAACATGCAACACCTGACTATTTAGTCAGGGGCACGGACCTCTTTTCCCTCAGACTGTCAAATAAAAAATGATAACAGCCAGCACAAGAATAGCTGTCCGGTGTGAATGTCCTGTCTTGTCTTGAACTGTAAATGTATGTCACATAATAGAGTTGCATCTTATTGGTCACATCACATAAGCAGGTTGCATCTGATTGGTTCATTCTTGGTACCAGAATGCCTTATATACAAGTATAAGTACCTTATTTTTTAGAAGTGACTTTGAGGCAAAAAGGGTAGGTAATTACTATGACTACTATCATTATTATTACTGCAAAGCAATTAAAATCATACCTATTTTTGTCAGATCGACAAGCAATACATTTTTGGGTGTGGCACAGAATTTCAGCAATTAGTTTCTACGTGCCGTGAGATGAACAAGGCTGATCAGCCAAAGCTAAAGTTATCCGGTGGGATTTTTCTACCTTGACCAGATCAATGGGGCTAATCACGTATTTCTGAAATCTTTGTTCCGGGTGGACCCCAGGTCCATGACGCCATCCAAACAGGCGGCAGGCGTAACTTGCAGGATTCACAGTTCAAACGGGCTGCTTTGTACCACAGGTGCCAGACACACCTTGGTGAAAGGAGGCCAGAGCTGCTGCGTCAGCCTCTCCCCCTCACACGGGGCGGCGAGGTCTCCCCCGCTGTGAGACCTCCCGTTAAGGGGCCGCGTCGGGGTGGGGGGGGGGGGACGTTCCGACGCAGGGCGACGCTTTCCGGAAGGCGTGCCCTCAAAGCATGCAGCTGCCAGCACCTGGCCCGCCTGGCGCCCGCGACAGGCGCTCGGAGGCGATGACATTTCAGATGGCACAGTATCTCGCCGAGCAGCTAACTGCGTTAAATTCTAAAATAACTGTGTGTTTCGCACTGTACACTCAGATGCCTTGGAATTAACACGCCAGTGGAAGAAAACACAAAATCTTACCATCGTGTGTACTAGAGAATCATTTATCTGCTCAGAAAAACCAAACCAGTAAATGGGTTTCATTTTTATAAGCACGCCAAAACGTAAGTGGGCTTTTCAGCCGCTGTTGGTCCTAAGTAAAGGCTGATTGATCTCGTCGGGTTAATTCTAAAGCGCAAGACTGTACACACTTTTCCTTTATTGCTTTCAAAATCCTTCCGTCTGATTTATGGACGATAATCCCAACGTCCCAGCACGACGCTGGCATATTTAGGGTAGCCCCAATCCCATGCTGTCCACTAAATGCCTTCGGCCGGGAGGGCGAGCAAAACGCGCGGGCCGCGGGAAGAGCGCGCCACCCTGCTCTGCTCCCTGCTGGCTCGGGCGCACCCAGATAGTGACTTTATTTTGAGCGCCAGCTTCGGAGAGATACGTGGTCAACTGGAGTATGCCCCCAGGAGGGAGTTCCCAGGGTTTGTTGTTGTTGTTGTCACATGACAAACAACAACAACGACAACACCCTGAGAATATTCAGACTGAGGAGACGACACAGCGGGCCCGTGGCCCTGTCCGAGTGCCCGACGCGCTGCCGTAGCCAAAACGGGCGAGGCCGACCCTGGGCCGCTCTGGACGTGGCAGCTCAGACCAGTAAGTGGACAGAGTGGGCGGCATCGTGTCACTGTCGCTTGGGGGAGAACTTCCTTTGCTTCACGTTCGCGGCCCGGGGTCTGCCCCAGGCTGCGTTGGGTTCGCTGCTGGAGGCGTCTAGAGAGAAGCTGTTTGACGACCTCCCTGGAATGTCTGTGGTGGGGATTTGGCTTCTGGAGGAAAGCGGGTGGAATAGGTCATAGTTACGGTCCATTCCGGTCCCTGCATCCACGAATGGTCATTGTCTTAGGGAAGTGCTAGTGTGTGATGTTAACTACCTTACTTCTTTGGGGGAAAAGAAGAGGTAACACCATTAGAAATCTAAGACGTTTGTTCTGCTCTCTTTGAGCATAAAGAATAAGAGGAGAACTTTTAATTCGCAGAGGAGGCCGTTGGTGAGGGAGTCTTCCTCTTAACTGGCGGCCATCTGTCAACCTCCGACAGCGGGGGATTAAAAGTGACTCGGGGAACATTTTCAAAAACACACACCGAAAGTTGAAAATAAGCCATTTTAAGCAGAAGCAAACCTGTTTCACCCCTTTCTTGTTTTCAAAGAGTTGCAACACCTTGGGGGTTTCAGTCCATTAGGTGGAGAAGACACAGCTGGCGCCGGGCAAGCATTTGGGCGCCTGCCATGCGGGGAGCTGCCGGCCGCGCACTTCGGTGGCCGGGAGGGCAGTTCCGTGAGTCACACCCGCAGGTTGGTTTGTCCACATCGCAGTTTGGGAGATGCTTTCCTGTACTGCGGGTCAGAGTTCCGCAGCGAGCCGCGGACGTTCCTACGAAAAGAGCAGGCGCTTGGAACGGAGTACGCAAACCGTGGGCACCTTGGCTTCCACTGGTGATTCTGGTGCCGGATGAAGGGCTGTGTCTTTGTGTCCCTAAACCTCGCACACCACATGGCAAGACAGCGCCTGCCACCCCGCACCGCAATGTGTCTCCATCGCTTCACACCACCGGTGACGCAGCTGGAGACCGTCGGGGGCGGGAAAGCCCAGAAGAAGAGACCGCACTTCAGAAATTGTCTCACTGCCCTTCCGCTTGGAAGACCGCGCCTTTGGAAAGCACACGCCATCCCCTCAAACGTGGTAATGTTGCTGTTTATTTTTCCCGGGCACCAACACCGTAAATCCGTCTTGTCCCAGAGCAGGGCTCAGAGGCTCGCAGTCGCGATGCCAGCGACAGAGTGGGCTGGGACTAGGTAGTGTCCCACCCGGAAGAACTCTGAACTCCTCCTCCTAGCCTGGCGTAGGCTGAACGTCTGCGCTGGGTCGCAGAGGGGGGCTGGGGAAAGAGCTCAAGTCCCCAGGCTGGTTAACGGAGGGTTCTGCTGGCACCAGGAAACAAAGGGCACACCACACAGGCTGTGTGCCGTTCGGAGGGGCACTAGATCAACCACAGAACCTCTCGAGTGTCCTCGAAGGAAGCAGGTCCATCACTGCTGTGGACTGGGCGTCTGTCCCAGCTACGTCAACTGTCCTCTTTGACGAACTCGTCCGGGGGAACGTGCTCATCGGCGCTGCACTCAGGAAAATGTTTTGTGGCTGTGGACGCAGGTGGCCCCGCAGAGACTGAGGTAGCATTTCCCCCCTTACATTCATCTTGGGTGAAAATGAAAATCCGGGCAAGATACTGTAGGTCGTATTGAAATTATACAAAAACTTCTCTTCCCTCCTACTTCGGTCGGGCCGGCTGGCGTGGGGAGGAGGTGGAAGGGAGACAGGTAAGCAGCGGAAAAATAGGTCAACTGTGCTTCTCGCCACCTTGCCAATTTTAATTCACCTGCAGCTGCTCTGTCCCTTCCCCGCTCCGCGGACAGCCGGCCCCGCGCCGCTGCGGCCCCCTCACCACCGCCGGCTCCCATCAGGCCGACCAAGTGGAGGAAGCAGGGAGACAGAAGGAAGAGCTTTTAGGACAGGCTGTGTTCGCTATTTAGAAATAGCACTGAAATGCGCACACGGTTTTCTCAAGGAACAGATGCAGAGATGGGCACGTTCGTTGTTAACGCTCTGCCCCGTGGCTGAGCGCAGTGTTAAATATTTGGTGGTTGCATCCTCTGAGCTTTCTGTTCGAGCGGTTACCCTGTTTGCTCTCGTGGGTCTTGGGTCCAGGTTCCCCCCAAATACGGGCAGTCACCAGGCACAGCCGTCCACTCCTGTCTTTCCTCAGATTTTTGGGTAACGTTTAGTGTATCGATCACCCGCTGAGGGCTGTGTCTTCATTGCAAAGTGGACTTAAACCCGCTCTTGGCCCCTCCTCCGAGGATGTGGTAAGGCTGGATAATTTCTTTAGGCTCTATCTTAAGAACACACTGAAGAGAACATTTTCCCGTGGTAAGAATAGAAACACAGTCCGTGTGCTCTGAAGAGCACCGAGTGCGAGGCGCGTAGGCAGGCAGACAGCGGGGGCGGGCGGGGGTGCTTCCTGTCGCCGGGCCCCGGAGCAGAAGGCGTGCGTTGGGAGTCGAAGGAATCAAAGCCAGGGGACGTCCAGATGGAAGATGACGAGCTGGGCCCAGTTAGCCCAGTCTGTCCCCAGCTACCCGGCTGGGGAGCAGGTGCGCTCCTAGCTGAACGGTCTCGAGTCCCCCCTTCCTCCTGGGCGGTGGGTGCCGTTGTCTCCCGGGGCTCCCGGCGGCGCGTGGTGCCTGGGGGCGGGGCGCCCTGACCACGTGTCCCCGTTCTGGTCTGTTCCCCTGCAGAGCTCCCAGCATGGCGGCTCCTCCACCTCCCTCGCGTCCACCAAAGTGTGCAGCTCGATGGATGAGAACGACGGGTCTGGAGACGGCGGTGAGCGCGGGGCTTGCTGGGGGCGGCGGGCGGGGCGGCGAGGTTGGCTCCAGGGCGCCGTGGCTGCTCCGGCAGAGCCAGGCGGGCGACGCCCGCCCTGCGGGCCCCGGCAGAGAAAGCCGCGGCCTAACCTGGGGGCGTGTCTGTGCTCTGGGCGCGGAAGGCGCCTCGGCGCGCCGGCCGTGGGAAGCGGAAGGGCGCCGCTTCTGCCTTTGCGTGTCCGCGTCCTGCTGGCTCTCAGCACCCTGTCTGGGTCCCCTGTTGCAGCCCTGCAGGCGGCCTCTAACTTAAGGGAGCTCGGTCGGTGAAAACACGGACTTACAGGGAGAATGAGCCGGTGACGGTTGGGAAGGCGGTCTCTGTCCCGTGAACCAGCGCGCTTGAGAATGCCTCTGGGACGCGGTCACAGATGCGGCCAGACGGCCGGGGGCCCCGCGGTTTGGGAAGCAGCGCCCCGGCTCTCCCTGCCCCGCCCCTCTTCCGGCAGGCGAGGTGGCGAGACACCTGGCCGGCTCCAGCCAGTTCCGGGGAGGCCTCTAGGAACGAGATCGAACCCCTGCGACAGTCAGCTCCTCACATTTGTTTTCAATGAGTTGGCTCAGTGTCCCCCAAAAGGCCCTTGTGGGGGGAGCACGTGAGGGAACCAGCTTACGCAAGGCTCATTTCCCAGCGGCCCTGAAATATCAGACTGTTCTTTGTATTTCCATGAGATGAAACCCAGCCTTCCAGAAGACTCTCGGTGCCATGTGTCCTATTTCCCTAATGACGTGACGAGGTCCTCGAGTAGGCAAGCCCTTGGCGAGGCCTCCTTAGCCCAACAGACACATTGACTCTGTCACTGGTCCCAGAGCTGGCGCTCCCATGAGGTGGGGGACGGGGGAGGGATGGTGGCACCTTCTTCCTTCTCCCGCCCAGCAGCCCCGGACGCTGACTTCCCCGGCCTGTGTCCTGAAGGGCCTCAAACGCACATCCTCTGAGAGAGGTCTCGTGAACTTGGGTGCTTGGCAGTGCATCAGAAACATCGCCAGCCACCTCCTCGAACTCCCGTGTAGATTATAAAACAAACAAACAAACAAACAAACCAGGCTGAGCCTTTCAAACGGGCACAATGGTTGGCTCCTTTGCCGGAGGGAGGATGGGGGCCGGGGCTTCACCGGCTCCGGCTCTCACTTTGTTCTGGAAACCACTGCGAGGGCGTCCGGTGAGGCGGCTGCAGAAGCCCCCCCGTTGGTACCACGCTCTGCGGGAACCCCGCCCGCCCCAGAACCCCGGGTGGAGCCGGCGGAACGCCGTCTCCCCGAGACCCAGCGCCGGGGGCCCCCAGCAGGTGTCTGACGGCTCTCAGCGTCCATTTGCTGTTCCCTAGCAACCCCGATGAAACGCGAAAATGGGGCTCACCCAGGAAGCCCCGTTCCCCGCCTGAGGTTCCAGTTTCACTCGGAGAAGAAATGGTTAGTCTCGGCGTATGGTTCAAGGTCAGAGCAGGAGCCCGTTGGGACGGCGCGCCAGGCCTCCATCCCGTTCCGTATTCAGGCTGCTGGAGGCAGAGCGGGGATTTATAACTTTCAAGCAACTAAATTTTAGAGCCCGCCCATAAAAGGCTTTTTACACCGCCAAGATGTGAAAGGTTACCCAGTATATTTATGTGACCTACGTGTGCCTTATTGAGTTTTATGGCCTTGAATATATAAGGCATTATTAGGCATTTGTAGCAACTTTCAAAGTACAGTTTAAGGGGGAAAATGTGTTGTGTTAGCGGCGCTCACGTAATTGAAACTACAAAACTGTTCTGTTCGCAGACATAATCGATACTGCAGTTTTCACCCAACATCTGCTCCGCAGGTTGCTGGTGAGAACTGTGAGATCGGCTCGTGGATACGGGGAGGGGTGGCCTTCGGGGCGCGTTCCCATGGAAGTCTCCGGAGCCCTCCGCTTCGGGCGGCCTGAGGCTCGTGGTGCACGCGGCCGCCGGGAACCCCTCCCGAGCCACACGCAGAAACGGCCTTGCCCTGCACACCGTGGGTGTGCAGTCAATGCTGTTGACGTGACGCAGAGAGAGGGGGTCCTCCGAACCCCCTGCCGCAGAGTGCGAGCTGCCTGGACGCGGGCGGGTGTGCGCCTGGGCCGCTCGATGTCGGCCTAGTAATGCCGTCCGCAGAGCGCGGCTGGCCTCGCCGCCCGGAGAAGGACCCACGGGCCCTGCGTCAGGTCCCGCCGATGAGGTGGTGCCTGTAACGGCCTCTTGTGCAGCATCTGCGTTCCCTCCCCTCCCAATAAAAACGCACTGACGCCTCTTTCAGATGTGTCGGAGGAAGGCTTCCAGATCCCGGCCACCATCACCGAGCGCTACAAAGTCGGGAGGACAATAGGGGATGGAAACTTCGCTGTCGTCAAGGAGTGCGTGGAGAGGTGAGGGGGCGGTCGCGTGCGCCGGCGCTGAAGGGAGCTCGGCGTCGCGTGTTCCGAGATCGCGTCTTTGTGGGCAGCCTGCAGACACGCGTGGGATCGGTTAATGCCGCAGGTCCACATTGGGGTGGGGGGGGGGGGGATTTAAAAAATGTAGTGATTCCTGGGGACAATCTATAAATTAAGGGCGTTGATTTTTCTTTTTAACGTACTTGGTGAAACTGTGCCAGATTTTTCAAGTAAGTCCATTTATTTTGTCAAAAAAAAAAAGGTATGTACGTACATTGAGTAACTTTTTCCCCACATTTTTGGGGGGCACTTTGTAGCGATCAGACGTCCTTGTATAGAATATATGTCTACACATGGGGGTCACATGCAATCATGAAATTAACTATAATGACCTTGAAAAGCTTCAAAGTGCTTATGTACTGATTCCAGCAAAAAAGGCACGCATGCGTTACAGTGTTCACAGCGAGCGAGCCAGGTCCCGCGGGAGCCACAGGGAAGGGTGCGGGGGAAGGTTCGTCCGTGGGACCTGGACACGCAGTCGAGGACAGGGGCTGGCGGCTGCGAGAGGGAGGGGTGGCAACCGCTAGGGCTGCAGGCCCGACAGACGAGCCTCAAGCCCGAAGCTCGGTGTCAGGTTGGGCTCCGTTTCTTGCGCTTTCAGCGGGCAGTGTCCCCTCGGGGCTGGGCCGGCCAAACAAGTCAGGGGACCCGCCTCCTCCCCGGGGGCAGCCGGCTCTGCCCCGCGGGCCGCCGTTTCACGCGTGCGAGCCCCGCGCCCCTCCGCACATGGCCCTCGCAGAGAGAGCGCCCGGACCCGAGAAGAAGCCGCAGCCTGAGGAGCAGACCTTGTCCTTGTCCCCAGCCTGTGCCGGGCTTCGGGCAGGGGGGGCGTCCCTCGTGTGGCCAGGGTCCCCTGATTTGCTCCAGGAGCCCGCTGCCATGCTTTGGAAGGTACTTCCTTCCAGATGGAGGCAGGGGACCCCAACCTTCACTCCGCCCACATACCCGCCGGGCGGGGTCTCCCTGGCGGTGACCGCACACGCTGGGGCAGCTGCCCTCTGTGAGGGAGGACAGGCTGGTGCCACTGGTGGCTCGGAAGAGCCCTTCGCTGCCCTCGCTGCCTCGCACCACCCCCACCCCCCGACCCACAGCCCAACCGCCGTTGGGTCTCTGCCAGACAGAGAGCGCGTCCCGTTAACTGCCCTGGGCCTCCCGCATCCAGAACCAGGAGCGACCCTGCTTCCTGAGCAAAAACGGCGCCGAAGGCCCTTACCGTCCGATGTTTCCCTTAGTGACCGTAATGATTTCATACTGTCCGTATTGTTTCTGTTTTCTACAAAGAAGGGCCACGACCGCTCAGCTCGCAAGCCCTCAGCCAGGCGCAGGTCCCAGCCCGGCTCAGGCCCGCCCCCAGCCACTCTTCTCCGCTGTCCCCGACGCGGCGGCTCCCACCGACTTCGGCGCGGCGCAGCCGCACACACGTTTGTCCCTGTGCAGCGAGGTCAGGAACTAACTCAGACGAGCCTCTGCAGAGGCTGCAGAGGCAGTCGGGGGAAGCATGCGTGCGTGTGTAATTTCACATGTCGTGGGCGCCTTTCACGATGGGAAACGCTCGCTTCCACCGCAGCAGAGAATCCCATTGTTAACAGGCCGCTGCGCCCTCCCGCGGCCGGCGGGGTGTCTGGGTGTTGGCCAGGGCCTGCCATCTGCTGAGCCAGGGGCGGCGGCCCCCGCTGCTGGTCCCCGCGAGCACACGGATCAGGGTGGCGTCCTAGCTCAACAGCCCTGCTCGTCCCCCGGTAGAAACGCCTCATTTTCCCGTCCAGAATTCATTGATTTCTTTCCAGTTCCGCTGGTGTTTATTTTGCCTGAGTTCACATCGTGGGTCGCCTTGTACGAACCCTCGGAGTCTAAACACCAGATTGCTCCGAAGAGCGTTCGTACCCCTCTCCTGCCGAGGACAGATGGCAGGTGCCCTCCCCCTGCCCCCCCGAGGCACCAGGAAGCACTCTCCCAGAGCTTCCAGAGGTCCCGGGAAACACATGCATGCTGGGAGGGCCCGGATGGCACACATGGCTGGCGGGGACACTCAGCCGTGTTTTGAAGGATGAATATGTATTCACCAGAGCAAGTATGTGGCTCCTCTGTTAATGACGCGCTGTCGCGGGGGAGATGCTTCCTCCCTCTGTGGCCACGACGACCGTGCTGCCCCGGCCTTCCTTCCCACGGCCCCACGCCAGCATCTGTCGGTGGTGGCTGCCATGTCCTCGCAGCCTCAGGCGCCCCTGGGACCTGCTAACGGCAGCTGGCGGGCAGAGACGCGTCCTGTTTTGAAGCCGTTTTGGGCAGCGTTCTGAGGCCCCAGAGAAAAGGCAAAGCGCTGAGAGGCGCGAGCAGAGGCTGGAGCCGGCAGGGGGCCGCGGGGAGGCCGCGGCCCCCGCTTCCCGGGCCTGCTCACCGCTCCCACCAAGGGTCAGCCGTCGCGGTCAGGAGCCCCAACGGGTCTCCGCAGGCCGGCTCTCGGGCCTCCAGGGCGACCCGCCTGCGGTTCAGGGGCGGGTCCTGCGAAGAGGGCGGACCGGGAAACGGCCGGTGAAGAGGCTTCGAAGCCGCCCTCTGGCGGGGCTCTCCCGCCGCTCCCTCGGGGGGATGCTCCGGGGCCCACGGCCTCGGGCGCAGCTCAGAGTCAGACTGCAGCCCCACTGCGGGGATGTGTGATCGCGGGCGCGCGGCCGCCGCCGCCGACCCAGGCTGCGCGGCAGCTTCGGTGTCGTTACCCGCTGGACGCCGTGGGCTGTGGACCGACCCTCTCTGCGGAGGGCCGTTGTTCCCGCCGCTGTGTTCGCCGGTCTGCGGCTCCCGCCGGCCCAGGCCCGCGCCGGGCCCTGTGGGCTGCCCCGGGGGCCAGGCAGCCGCCCCTCCCCAGCAGGACCCCCCCACCCCGTGCACAAGCCCTTGCCCCAAATTCAGCAAATGCTGTGGTGGGGGAACGGTTACGAAGCTGTTCTTCCTTTTCCAGGTCCACCTACTATTTTTAAAAACCTTCCCAGCACAGCAAGCAACAAGGGAAAGCGCGTCAGCCTAGGGCAGCTGCACCCTCCCCGCGCGGTGCCTTTCTGAGCACCCTTCTGCCCCCTGCGGGGCGGGGCGGGGCGGGGGGCGGCTGGGAGGCTGGCCGGGGCTGCGAGCCACTGCGTGAAACCAGGCGGCTTTCTCCAAGCCGTCCTCAGCCCCAGCGTTAAACATGAGAGTCTGTTCAAGCGGGTGGAGTCGGGAGATTCCTCTCCAGCGTGCGTGTCCTAACCTTGGGTCAAACTCAGTAGGAAGGGGACCTTACAAACCGGGTTCCCACGGACCAGCAGGAAAGCAAAGCTCGCGGGGCAGCTTTGGCCACGGCGGTCGGGGGTCCCCAGGTCCCCCTTCAGGAGCAAGCAAGCCGGCGGCCGGCACCTCTCCAGGGATTCAGGTGTTCACTATTCTCAAAACGCCACACCACAGTCTCCTTGGGGACAAGGACCAGGCGCCCTCCCTCCGCACATGCTTGGAACTGCTCGCTGACGAGCCACACGGGCACCCCGCCGGGGGTCAAAGCACACAGGTGGCAGGCGCTTGACTGCCGGCCCCGCTCTCCCCACCTGTTTCCACTCACCGGCTCAAAGCGGCCGTCAGACTTTACTGTGCGGCCCCGCGCGGCCCCTGCACCTGGGCGGCGGGCGCCTTTCTAGCCCCCCCCCCGCAAACATGTGCTTCCAGAATGAGGATTCAATTCCGGCTTTATAGTCCTGCCCTGGAGGAGTCGGGGCAGGAAGTCGGCAGGATGGATTCTGGTGGTCCCCCACGGGGCTCGCGTCGGATGTAACATGTGCGGCAGCTCAGGGCGTGTTTGGTCCCACTGTGTAATATTCCGGGGGCGGGGCGGGGGCCCCAGAAGGCTCTCTTTCCTAGGGCGCCCGGGGCCTCGGCAGGTCAGCTCACACACATTTCCCCCGAGCCGCCGGCTGCCTCCCTGGGGACCCCGCTCCTAGTCCGGTGGCCGTGGCGGCTACTCCGCCTTCCTGGGTCCTGTACCAGCCCTTTGCTTTGAGTGCTTCGGGGTTCCTCATCCCATGGGAACCGAGGGTGAGGTGGCAACGCGGGGAAACCTCCCTCCCCGCCACCGCACCGGCCTTCCGTCCACCCGCTGCGTGGCGGCGGCTCCTGCCTCGTCTCCGGCCGCTCTGGGCCGGCCGGCTTTGCTGCCAGCAGCCAGCCCGCGAGGCCAGCCTTCCTGCCATCGCAGGAACCCTTCGCAACCAGCTAGGGAATTGCTCCCGGACTCTAGCCTCCGATTGGCATTATCATAATTTTTTCAGTGATTCGCAAAAAGCAGAATCCAGAAAGACTTCTGCCCTTTGTTTTCCTCACTATTAAAGGATTCTTAAATTTGCAAACCGAGTCTTCGAAAGCCTCTTAAGAGGAGGCTACTTAAAGGCCCTGTGGTTCATCTAGGATGTGCGGAGTCCCTTTGTAATTTCGCTTTCTGTGTATCTACTTGCCCATACATTCCACGTTTCTAATGGTCGCTGTTTCGTTTTCCTCTCACTGAAGTGCTTTTCCTGTCCCCTGCGCCGTGGCCTGGCCGGTGGTCAGGTGTCAGCCGGGGCGGGGGTGGGGATATTGAGCACCCAGGCCCGGCATCGGGCCAAGGCCAGCTCACGTGTCCTTTGTCACCTGCTCTCCGCCCAGGTGGGGCTCGAAGGACCGACCACGACCGAGTCAGCCAAGGGCGCCGGCGGTTTCCCTGCTGGGGAGCCTCTGAGGCACCGAGCGGGGCTCCCCTCCTCCCACCGGATCTGAAAGGCCCTCTGGTGGAGAAAACAGGCTTCCGCGGGATTAGTTTATTCCGGTTTCAGTCACCGGACGTAATGACAACAATTCAGCCCACGTTTATTGTCTTCTGTGAGCTAGCATCGCGCGGGGGTCTGGGACTGGGGCGGAAGAAGCATTTTTAGGAGCAAATGACAGGACCGTGTCTGCCGTTCCCCTGAAACATGTAGCTGATGTCCGGCCTCTTCATCCGTTCACAGCGAACCGCTCTCTTCCTCACCCGCGTACCCGGGAGACCCGCTTTGATTTTCCGCAGTGACGCGTTTAAACCCCTATCTGACAGTGCCGGTCTTCGCCCGCCGCACGCCCGCTGGGCTCGCCTGGACCCCTAAGGCCGGCTTTGTCTGCAGGGAAGAGGCCTGGCGGTCCTGGCTTCCCACCAGCAGGGAAATGGTGTCGCTTGTTGCCATTCAAGCAGGGGTTGGTCATGACCGTTGAGCCCGCGTGGTGTCCTTGGACAGGAAAACGTGGTGTCCGGCACAGCAGTGTCTCAGCGACGGCCGCGCGGCTTAGGAAGCCGGTCACAGGGAGCGGTGACCAGACCCTCCCTACGACGCCCGCCATGGAGGCAGGTGGTGTTGGTTGGGGTCTATGAGAAGCAGAGTCCCCAAAAGCTCGGAGTCCTGCCTGTAATGCCACCCCGTGGCTTTGGGAGCGTGAGCTGATTTCCCCTGTCCCCTCCCTGTCATTTCTGTGACATGGGACAGCCATCACCAAGAGGTCAAAGGAAGCTCGGGTAACCGTTGTATCCCTTTCTTTCTATTTATTTTTAGAGAGAGGGGAAGGGAGAGAGAAAGATGGAGAGAAACATCGGTGTGTGGTTGCCCCTCGCGTGCCCCCTGCTAGGGGCCTGGCCCGTAGCCCAGGCCTGTGCCCTGACTGGGAATCGAACCCACGACCTTTCGGTTTGCAGGCTGGTGCTCAATCCACGGAGCCACGCCAGCCAGGGCAAGTGTAGCCCTTTCTCCACTGCAGTCCTGTTAGCCGTGAGCTCTCCAGCAGACCTCATGGGCTTGCACCCGGAACCAGGTCTGAAGAGTGTGCACGGCCCCTGCAGAGTGTTCGAGGAGGCCGTGCCTGTGGCCTATTCAGGAGGCGGCCACGGCCACAGTTCATGGAGCCGGCACCTCCGATAGCTGGGAAGAGGAGGGCGGAGACTCGCGTGTGTTTCAGGCCCCAATGGCAGCGCAGGGCAGGGCAGCCTGCAGACGTGGCGCGGGCCGGGGCGGGAGCGGGATCCAGGAGGGCGCGGCCCCACGGATGCACGGGCCGCTCACGGGGCGTCTGCCCTCGCGTGTGTGTTGTCTTTCCATTGGCTCAGTTGAAATGTTTCTTGGGAAAAAAGGTAAAGAGTCATTCACAAAATGTTCATACCATGATGCAAGGTCTATGGGAGAAGAGAGAAATCCTTCATGAGATGATTCAATGTATCTGAAATTAAGTTTATTTTTAAAAAAATTTTTTTCTCTTTGCAGGTCTACGGCGAGGGAGTATGCTCTGAAAATTATCAAGAAAAGCAAATGTCGAGGCAAAGTATGTATGAGGGTTATTCTTGTGAAAATACAGTATCAGGGGGTGGAAAGAGACACAGAAACCAGGTCCCAAATGAGCATACGTTCACCCCGGCTGCTGCATTTGTGGAATAGAAGTCATAGGCTAATTAGATTATGCCTTTATAAACAGTTCTGGAGTAAAAGTGAGCTAGAATGATTATGTGTTATTTTTGTTCCTTCTCCGTATTTGCTTGTTTGGCTACTTCATTCCATTACTTTTGCGATCTTAGGTTTTATTCCCGACTCGTATAGGAACTTGTAGTTGTTGTGAAAAGTTCTGACATTACAGGCATCATCTAAGGACCTCCTCAACATCTGTGGGCAATTCTAGGCTCTCCCAAGACCAGGACCCCAGATACACTCCCGGCATTTTACCAAAACTCATCCCCCTTGCCCTTCGCTGAGTACGACCTGCCCCTTCTGAGGCAGCTCCTCCCGCGTTGGGTGTGTGTGTGACGGTCGCTTTCTTCTTGGCAGGAGCACATGATCCAGAACGAGGTGTCCATCCTAAGAAGAGTGAAGCACCCCAATATCGTTCTTCTGATTGAAGAGATGGATGTGCCAACGGAACTGTATCTCGTCATGGAGTTGGTGAAGGTGCGTATTTCGGAAAAATGAAACCAACCTGTGCAAGGCCGCCTGCTGTTCCGTGTAACTCAGCTCTTGTCTCCTCCCATCGATAGTCAGGCTTCCATCTGTATACACTGGCGTCATGGCGAAGAGTCTTGATATTAGAATTACACCACGAGTTCAAGTCCTGGCCTTGGCCTAAGTAGCTCCCGGCCTTGGGGTACCTCTCTGTTGTGTGTAGCTACACCGTCACACCAGCCCTGTCGCCCCGAGTGCTGTGACGCAGCAGCTGGCCCCCCGTCCTCGAGCCTTAGAGGGCGGAGACGAAGTTCAGCGTGCAGGTGAGGAATGAGCGAGGCCGAGGCCCAGCAGCTCAGAACATGGTCTGCCAGGCGCAGGCTCGGTCTGGTGACAATAGCTAAGGGCAGCCAAGGAGACTCAGCAGGTTTTCTCGAGGTGGCCAACAGAGCCTCCCCGGACGGGAGAGTCTGCAGAGCCCAGCGTGGGCCACTGGACCCTGCCCCTAAATTCGGCCTGAGCCACAGCTGCTGCCAGGCCAGGTCTGGAAGCGAAGGCCCGCCCCAGGCGCGACCGAAGGCGCCTGTTGCACTTGCCTGAGCAGTTTGGCTGGGGCCGCGCTTCTCTGAGCCTGCGGGCCCGGGTGCCTGCAGCCACAGGACGGGCAAGGCCTGCGCTGCGGGAAGCGAGGGAACCGAGATTCAACGCCCAGTCCCGTAACAAGGAAGGACAGGACCCTGGGCCTGAGCCGGGAGCAGGGCGCACGTGCAGACTGCAGAGGGCGGGCCCGTCCGGGGGGCGGCCCCGGGGCCCGGCCCTGGGAGTTCAGCACAGAGCACGGGACTCCCGGGAAGGAGCTCCAGCGAGGACAGGCTCGGCCCCAGGGTGGCCGGGGCCAGCTCTGGGGCCGGCGACCGCGAAGGGGCAGGAGGGGCAGGAGAAGAGGTTAGACAAGGCAGAGGGAAGGGTGGGGGCGGAACGTGCGGTGCCGCAGGCCAGGCTGCCGGCTCCTTGAAGAGAGACAGGAAACCCACACCCACGCGCCCCGTGGGCAGGCGACAGTCAGCTTCCTCCCAGCCACCCCGGGACAAGCGACAAGCACGCCCTCCCCCGGGATGGGAGGGTGTGGAAGACGGGCCTGCAGGCCCTCATGGAAGGGCTGGCCGGCTTCGCGGCTGCTTTGTTGAGGATGAAGGGGCAGGAGACTCCGGGAGGCCTGGCGGGGACACCTCGGGAGAGGGCGGGGCCCTGCAGGCCGCACCGGCGCACGGCGGCTGCTCACACGGAGCACGGGGGCCATCCTGCCTCCCGGGGGGCACGGACGGCCTTGCCTTTGGGAGAAACAGGAAGTCCAGAGCGGACGTGCTCATTCGGAAAACAACTCCGTGTTGCGGCAGTAGCGGGGGACACGCCGAGGCTGCAGGGACGGGGAGCCTGCCGAGTAGAGAGGGCGCAGGGCGGGAGGTCAGGCCGCGCGGGGATCTGGAAATTGTGAGCCTATTTAAAAAGGAAAGTCCAGTCCCCGCCACCCAGGGAGCCGATGAACACCACTGAGTACCGTGCTCAGCTGTTGGGCGGGTGCGTGGAGGCAAGGCGATGCAAACGCTGTGCCTTACATCCGGCCCGAGGTTTCTCACCCGGTTCAGATCAACCAAACTAAGATGGGAGTCTAGCCTCCTTGTCTCACCAAACACCAATAAGTCAGCCGGGAACAGGGGAGATACAAGTTCGGGTGAATACGAGGAAGGGCGCAAAAACCCCAGAGTTACCTTCCGAAGGCCAGGCCCCTGGTCGTCCAGGCTTCCTGCTGGGTGAGTGTTCTAGGAGCCCTTCTGGATCGGCGCACCAGCGGGCGTTGTTGTGAGAGGCTGGGTTCGGCTCCAGTAAGTTCTGTTTGAAGATTCTTTCAGCGTGTTTTCCCATCTCATGACGGGCGATTCACGGGTGCACCTGCCCCCGGGGCGCTGAGTGTTCCGCAGTTTTTGACCCCAAACAGCATGACCCCTGTGCCCCGCCCTCCTTGTTCGCCCAACCTTGCCCCCAGTGATTGTTTCTCCTGATTAAAAAAGTTCCCAAAGTGAAACGTTTTGCCGACATGGAAGAAGTAAAACAAAAAAAATGGCAGTAGCACTAAAAGTCATCCAAACTGAGGAGTTCAAAAACGGTCGCGCAGCGGGAAAAAGTCTGGATCGGTGTGTTGTACCACGTGGCGAGGACTTTGCAGGTGACTGACGTTTAAACTTGTGCGCATACATGCTCCTTTTTTATAAAAGTTCAGGTTTTTGGGGGGTACCCCTCGTAACGGTCCTGGGAAACCGCCTTTGCAATTTCTCCGCCCTCCTCCCGCTCTCTCTCTCTCTCTCATCTCTGCAACGCCAGCGTCGGGCCCTTCTCTCCGGGTCTTACAAAGAGGCACAGTATGGAAAGAGAAAACGCCACGCCCACCCCGGGAGCGCTCAGTCTGGAGGGCGCAGGGACTCGTGTGTGTCTCCCTGAGGATTTCCCGGGGCACAAGGGGGCTGTTTGCATTACTACCCGTTTCTCCGTTCGGTGGGTGGGGGGTTAGGTTCTGAATGGGAACTCCTGCGGGGAGCTGGCGTGAGGCACGTACCGGGTGCCACCAGGACACCCCGGCGTCCCAGGCCTCTGGCCGCCTCGCCGGCGGGGGCCGGCCGTCTGCGGCAGAGGCTCCTCGCCGCGTCTCCCCTGGAGCGCTGGAGGGAAGGCTGTGGCGTGGAGCGCGAGCCCCGCAAGGGCTCCGGGCCTTGGGGCGGAGGGGGCGGGGCGGCCCTGCGGAGCCGACGCCGCTGCGGGCCCCTCACCCGCTTAGAGCCTGGGGGGGCCCCCCGCCCCCGGCAGCGCTAACGTGCCGCCCGCTGGTCTCTCCGCAGGGAGGCGACCTCTTCGACGCCATCACTTCCACGAACAAATACACCGAGCGAGACGCCAGCGGGATGCTGTACAACCTGGCCAGCGCCGTCAAGTACCTGCACAGCCTGAACATCGTGCACCGCGACATCAAGCCCGAGAACCTGCTGGTGAGAGAAGCGCGACCCCAGGGGCTCCCGAGCCCCGTGCGCGCGCGAGGGGCTGCGACGCGCCCCTGCCTTGTCTTTGCCGTTTGCTCGGCTTTCCTTCCACACGGCTCCTCACGGGCTAGTTTTCCGCCGGCCGCCGGGCTGGCAGGGAAGGGGTCTGCCGTGTGGACCGGCGGGGGCCGGTGCGTGGCTGGGAGCAGGTGCGAACCGAACTGGGGGCCCAGCAGGGGCGTCCGACCTTGGGGCGCCTCCGGGCCACAGTGGTAGAAGAGCTGTCTTGGGCCGCACGTGAAATACACAAACATGAGTGAGAGCGGATGAGCAAAAAAAAGGCTTTAAGTCAACTTCCGATCATGTGTTGGGCCGCATTCACAGCCACCCTGGGCCGCGTGGGGCCCGGGGGTTGGACGCCCCGGGTGGCCAAGGCTGAGGGCCAGGCCAAGGGTCACGGGGAGCATTTATTCACACGCTTCTTATTTATCAACAGCACTTTCATGTTAGAAAGTTCTCCTTGGGGGGGAAAAAAGGGAGCCCTTTCTGTTCCTCTTTGTCTCCCAAATTTCTATCCCAACAAGGCAAGGGCCGGCAAAAGTAGGGTTACAGTTGTTGGCATGGAAAAGAATATAATAATGCATATCAATGCAAGGATTAATTCTGTTTCGGGCACTCACAATGGTAACCCTACGTTTTGCCCCCCCGCCCCCCACCCCCCGGGCCCCCCTACCACTGGTATGGTCTGAAAGCTAGGAGAATAAATCCTAATAGGTGTTTAAGGACACCAGCCCCTCAGCGTAAAAGTAACCATGATGAAGGCTGACTTTAAAAATCAGCGACGTTCTCACCCCTCTTGCAGCGGTTTGGGGGGCTTTCCGCGAGCCCCCCATCTCCGGGGAGGCAGCGAGAGTTCGCCCTGCAAGCAGATGGGTACTGTTTGCGAGTCTGTTGTGCGGGGACATACTGGAAAGAGCCGAGGGACGGACTGGGCATCCGAGAGCTGCCCCTGGTGAGCGCGGCAGCAGCAAGTCCTGTCAGCTGGTCGGGCTGGAATCTTAATGAATTGACTCAATTCCCCCCAAGGTGGTATTTTTCCCTCCTTCCCTTACCCAGCCCTGAGAACGCCGTGTGGCTATGAGCTTGTCCGTCTCTTCAGAAACCTGTGAGCTGAGGAGCCTCTCTCTAAAGCAGCGTTTCTCCCAGGGTGGTCTAAAGATCCCCCCACCTCCGAATTACTCCCAGATGCCTGTTAACAGGTGAATTTCCGAGCCTCCTCGCAGCCCCGCCCCCCCGAACCGGACGGTGGGGCAGGTGGGTGCGGCGGCAGCAGGCGCCTCCACGGTCCGTGTCCACAGGGTGTATGAGCAAAGGGGCGGCCCGGCCTGGCCCGGCCACCCAGTCAAGGCCGATGAGGCCACCGCGCTGGAGAGCCATCGTGTGCGCCGCGTGGGTGCAGGCTCCACACTCGCTGTCCCTCTGAGTTCCCACAGGGAGGGGTGCATTCCCCTGCTGTGCCATGTGACAGTGAGGAAGCGGGGCGCCTGGGGGCTCAAAGGGCTGCCTGCGGCCGTCACAACTCACGGAAAGGCGGGGTCCCTGCCCTCGCCCTGGCCCACTCAGGGCCCGGGCTGGAGGTGCCAGAGCGCTTCAAGCCAGGACATGCCAGGACATGCCAGGCTGACGGCATGTCAGCCCCGTGCCGGCTGCTGTGCCCAGAAGTGAGACATCGGTCCTCAGGGAGGCGGCATCCAAGCAGGAAACAGGCATTTCAGAAATAAACACACGCACAGCGCGTTGATTGCAGCGGGGTCAGTCATCTGCCAGCTCCTGGCTAAGGCAGGCAGCCGGGGTCAGAGGACGGCGCTCCGACTTGATTGCACGGCGGATTCCGCCGTGGCCTGCACGTCCCCCTGCCGGCGGCAGCCACGTTGTCCCCGCGGCGATCGCTACTCCTGGATCACGTGGGACCCTCTCGAGGGACAGGCTCACAACCGGGCCTTTGTTTAAACACCCCTCCGAGCTCCGAAGAGTCAGTGATGGAGAAGTCAAGTTTCAGGTCCCTTTCCCCTTTGGCCGGTCCGCTTCGCTTCTCAGCGGAGCGCCGCCTGTCTCCACAAACGCCGTAACGGATCACAGGGCAGCGCTCTTGGCTGACTGTACAGTTTACAGGGTGCTGGGTAAGTCTTGAGCGCAGGCGACTGTATTTTCAATGACTCGAGAAGAAGGAAGTTCTCTCCTTTTTCTTTCTTTTCTAACTTAAGAACGTGAAATAGCATCTGCGTACAAGTGTTCACACTCGCGCCATTGTAGTTGCTCACAGTCTCGGTTTAAGACACATTCGCACGAGACACCGACATCGGCCTGCTTCCCCAGAACCGGGGTGTCCTGCCGCGGGGAGGCCCCTGGCGAGGCCTGCGGCCATCAGCCTGCCAGGGGATAAAATAGGTGGGAGCACAGAATGGGTGTAACAAAATCAGGACGAATTCACGAATGGCACGTGAGGCCTCTGCTAATTTCACATCGGGTTCAGCTTCCTGTGGGAAAGGGAGCCGCCTGGGAGGTTCGTGCTCCCGTGTCTGGATTTGTTGTCGGCCGCACGAAAGGTCAAGCCAGGGCTTGGCGCCTCTCAGGCCGCTCCCCTGACCTTGAACAAGGGACTCAGCTCCTCTGGACCTCCTTCCAGGGCGCTTTTTGAAGATAAAAGGAAAACATGCAACTAGTAGTTCCAGTCCCTTTTATTCCCCTTTTATTTGTGATCAAAATCAAATTATTCCTAAAAGTAAAACTTTAACAATAAAATTGCATATTGTAGAAATTATCTCTTATCTTTTTTGACATGGTTTTAAAAAAAAATTTACTCTTTACCATGTATGGATTTGCTCCATCAGGGCAAAACATAGCCCTAAAGGCTATTTTTGAACAACACTGTCATGAATTTTATATAGAGATTTTTAAATCCATTTTCTCAGTACAGGTAAATTCATCAAATAAATAGGAAGGCCTCACTGCACACTTTGCACTGCTGTTTTATGAAGGGGCTCAAAAGAACTTCTAACTCACAAGGTTTTTGCTAGTTAAGTATTTGTTATAACTAGCAAGGCATTGTTTATAAATGATAACTAAGCTCTAGGTTTTATTTTATGTAGTATGATTGCATACACGGAACAAGTTTAGACTTTTACATTTTTAATCCTTACAGGACAATCTAAAAATACTGTAGTTTGGCTGTAAGGATCTGTTGTGATTATATATATGAATGATTTATTGAAACCCAAGTATTTGGTCAGGTCAAAGTATTGTAATGAGAAACTATGATTTGACTTGCAGCGATGTTTCCAGCCACATTTTAGGCAAAAAATTGGGAACCGAGGCAATATCGGCATCTTTTACAATTTTATTATTGTACTGTTACCAAGTTGTTTTTTACCAAGTTAATTATGCCAAAGATTTTATGCAGTGCGTTTTGCTCTGCAGGCCGGATGCTGCGGAGGTTGTGGCTGATCTGAGAGATACCAAGAAACTTCCCTTTAAGATTGTCGCATATATCCGGCGCACAGGTTCAAGGCCATGACTAGCTGTGCGTTTGCAGGGTTTTTAAGGTCTTTTCGCTTTTCAGCACACGCTAGTAGTGAATGGATCTCTCCGATGTCCGCGACCCACGCTGTAATTTTTTGACGGCGACCTCCCTCAGGTATGGGTGAGTGTCATGTGGACGAGAGCGCACGTGAGGTCAGAGGAGACGTGAGCGTATGAAACTTCTTCACGCCAAAGAGGACGGGCTCCACGCAACAGTGCAAGTCCTTCCTTGGTTCCTTTTTAAGTTGAGGAGTCACACGGGCCTCGGCCCCAACCTCGCTGAACGGGAGGAGGCAGAACGGTATTCCCAGCGGCTGATGCCTGGGACCACGGGTGGGTGTGGGCGTGCACGCGCGCGTGCCGGACGTGGGAGCTTATGAGTAAAAGGAACCCTTTGCTTTTTTCCAAACAAAAGCTCCCATCTTAGGAAGAGCAACTGCCGTCAGTTCCCACGGGTCACCACTAGGTGGCAAGCGTGTAGCCTCGGCAGCAAAACCAGGAGCAGCCACTGCCCAGGGCGCTGGGGGAAGGGGCCTTCGTAATCCGTAGGCGCAGACACCGGTTCCTTAGGAAAACGAAGGTCTTTACTGGCAAAAATAGAGCTTACCTCCGTAGTTTTTGTTAGATCCCAGAAATAAACACAGTCATTTTCTTGCAATGTAAACAGTTATGTTCAGAAACCATGTCGCTCTGGGGCAGGAACTTCCTTTGCGCATCCGTCCTGCGCCTGCTCCTGCCTGTGCGTCAGGGATGGCCTGCGTGGCGCGTGGCCCTCGTTTTCCATGCCGAGATTGTCCCTTTTTCCCCAAGTAGGCGGGCAGTGCTCCGGCTCTTCTTAACCATAGGGCAGCGCGGCAGCCGATTCGTGGGCAAGCGCAGCCCTTCAGGGACCGCGCAGGGCGCACTCGCCCGGCCTCTGCGATGACCCTGAGCCGCCACAGTTGACTAAAGGATTGGGGGTCAGCCAAAGGGAGGGGCTGTGGGTCTCCCGAGCAGGAGACCTAATCGGCGGCGCCGTGAGCCGCAGTGTAGGTGTGTTACGTCAAGTGGCAGTTAAGGTCCAGAACTATCTTAGCTCCGTCAAGTCCCGCAATCAGTAAGCTGGAGCTCAACGGGGAGTGAGCACAAGCCCCGATGGACTGCGGGGCTTGGGGTGGCGGTTTTGGTGATCGCAGCAGAAAAGCAGTAGCAAGAGAACGTGGCCTGGCGCGGGCAAAGGCGGGCGATGGATGGACACAAGTCGGTGTGAGTCTCGGGCGCACCCATGTGCCTTAGACTTCGGCACTAAATCAGTGTCGCCACCAACAGATGGCGCTCTTGCCACTTGCCCCCGGTGGCGAGGGACCGGAACTCGCGCGTCAGGGGCCTGCAGGTTGGCCAGCGGAGGGGTGGACCGAGCAGCGCGCGGTGACGCTCGTCACGTGGGGCAC